AGCAGCTCTTAGTGTTTAAATTAGCCTTTGTTCCATATTTCACAATGTTTTGTATACAACTTGCAAATTACCTGTAGAAAAAAGGAGACAAATACTCCTCCCCTGAGGCACATTAAGGGCGCAAGATAAGTCAGCGGTTTTTACAGAAAATTTTAAATGATTGACGCAGATTCTCACTCGACTGACTCGAGTGTCTCGGGTGAAGAAAGTCATTAAGCATTTTTCTTGGCTCATTACATTTCTTTCTTGATTTTAACTCCGGACAAAGTTATTAAGCAAAGCTGGTTGCGCTGAAAAATTGCACAAAAATGCTAAGAAATGGTACTTTTGTTTGTACAATTTGCATATTTTCATAACTTCAGACCAAACAAACATTTTGTTTTTCGAGCAACTTTTGAGTAAGTTTTGTTGCAATAAGCAACTTTTGATTGTTTTTGGCAACTTTTGAGCATTTGTTTGAGAAATAATGAGAAACTTTTTGGAAAATCTCGAACAACTTATGGAAAGCCCTACCGGTCTGACCGGTCATCCTAGAGGAACTTAAGTCAGTTTTCAAAATTACAAAGGTTCCAGTGTTACTTTTTCGAGAATTTTAGTTGCAATTTAACGATTTACGAAAGTGAGGATTTTTCTGGTTACCTCTCCCCATCACATTTTAGAATCCAAAAAAATAAAAGAAAAGAAAAATATTGTAACGTGGGAACTGATTTTGAAACATTAAAAATCAGAATTCGTAGGGAATTTATTAGGTATAAAGCATCGAAAATTGTTTATGAATGGAAGGTCCATCTAGAAATTTTCAGTCTTCCTCAAGCAAAAGAAAATTCTTGGCAATATTTGCTTCTCCGAACAGATATTTCGCAGAAAATTGTCTTTGGGTGCCCCTGGTAGCCTCGCCGGGTCAATTTTGTGCAATTGAGCATGGGACACCCCAGTCGTAAGAACAAGAGAGGTCGCGTAAAAAGATAAAAGCTAGAAAATATTTCTATATATCACTAACTTGATCAAATGTGTGTGAACCTTGACGTTCCTTTCATAAGCTTGTGCAAATCGTACTTTGTAGAAGGTTCCATTCAGGACTCACATACCTACATTTATATTCTATATATTCTCTCGCCCATTAAATCGACCGTAGTTTATATTAATCCCTTTGAGTATGGACTCGGTTTCACTGGCTTACTCCTAATAATCCTCCAAGTTTGGTCGATTGACTAAATCGATAAGCCCGTTGAACCCAAAATAATGCGAAATAGCTTTGAAGCCCGCTTAAGCTAATTTTCGGCAAAAATGTATACTCAACAGCTTTCGTATTTTTATTCATCAAATTTATATAATACGCATTGGCCACTCTGCTGCTAATAACGATCCCATGAACCTCATATTGCTGGGTCTAGATTCCTTCATGTTGCGGTGCAGCGGCACTTGAAAGTGAGACTAGTCGATATGAATGCTTGGAAAATTGGCTGGAAGGTAGAAAGGAATCTTTACAATTCCTTACACCACTGGACGCCCCTACTAAGGCTGCTACAGCTACTACAGGTACTACAGGTACTACACCTACTACAGCTACTACACCTACTACAGACACTACAGCTACTACAGTTACTACACCTACTACAGCTACTACAGCTACTACAGGTACTACACCTACTACAGGTACTACAGGTACTACAGCTACTACGGCTACTACAGCTACTACAGCTACTACAGGTACTGCAGGTACTACAGGTACTACAGGTACTACAGCTAATACAGCTACTACGGCTACTACAGGTACTACAGCTACTACAGCTACTACAGGTACTACAGCTACTACAGGTACTACAGGTACTACAGGTACTACAGCTACTACAGCTACTACGGCTACTACAGCTACTACAGCTACTACAGCTACTACAGCTACTACAGCTACCACAGCTACTACAGCTACTACAGCTACTACAGCTACTACAGCTACTACAGCTACTACAGCTACTACAGCTACTACAGCTACTACAGCTACCACAGGTACTACAGCTACTACAGCTACTACAGCTACTACAGCTACTACAGCTACTACGGCTACTACAGCTACTACAGCTACCACAGGTACTACACCTACTACAGGTACTACACCTACTACAGGTACTACAGGTACTACACCTACTACAGGTACTACAGCTACTACAGCTACTACAGCTACTACAGTTACTACAGCTACTACAGCTACTACGGCTACTACAGGTACTACAGGTACTACAGGTACGACAGCTACTACAGCTACTACAGCTACTACAGCTACTACAGGTACTACAGCTACTACGGCTACTACAGCTACTACAGCTACTACAGCTACTACAGCTACTACAGCTACTACAGGTACTACAGCTACTACAGGTACTACAGGTACTACAGCTACTACAGCTACTACGGCTACTACAGCTACTACAGCTACTACAGCTACTACAGGTACTACAGCTACTACAGCTACTACAGCTACTACAGCTGCTACAGGTATTACAGCTACTACAGCTCAGTGACAGCTACTACAGCTACTACAGCTACTACAGGTATTACAGCTACTACACCTACTACAGGTACTACAGGTACTACAGCTACTACAGCTACTACAGCTACTACAGGTACTACAGGTACTACAGCTACTACAGCTGCTACGGCTACTACAGCTACTACAGGTACTACAGGTACTACGGCTACTACAGCTACTACAGGTACTACACCTACTACAGGTACTACAGCTACTACAGCTACTACAGCTACTACGGCTACTACAGCTACTACAGCTACTACAGCTACTACAGGTACTACAGCTACTACAGGTACTACGGCTACTACAGGTACTATAGCTACTACGGCTACTACGGCTACTACAGCTACTACAGCTACTACAGCTACTACAGCTACTACAGCTACTACAGGTACTACAGCTACTACAGCTACTACCGCTACTACAGCTACTACAGGTACTACAGGTATTATAGCTACTACACCTACTACAGGTACTACAGGTACTACAGCTACTACAGCTACTACAGCTACTACAGGTACTACAGGTACTACAGCTACTACGGCTACTACAGCTACTACAGGTACTACAGGTACTACAGCTACTACAGCTACTACGGCTACTACAGCTACTACAGGTACTACTACAGGTACTACAGGTACTACAGGTACTACGGCTACTACAGCTACTACAGGTACTACACCTACTACAGGTACTACAGCTACTACAGCTACTACAGCTACTACGGCTACTACAGGCACTACAGGTACTACAGGTACTACGGCTACTACAGGTACTACAGCTACTACAGGTACTACAGCTACTACAGCTACTACAGGTACTACAGGTACTACAGGTACTACAGGTACTACGGCTACTACAGCTACTACAGGTCATTGCGTCTACTAGGGTACAGCCACTACAGCACTGACAGCGGTGGGCGGTGGCCCGGGACATTATGGGCAGTCTTACACCAAGTACTACCCAATACTGAGCAGTTTTTCATCCGATTTCCAAACACTCATTAAACATTAATTTTCTTTGTATTTTCTTCATGAATTATTAATGAGTTTGAGAAGTCTGTGTCAAAACAAGGTCGACGCCAACACGCTCTCATTACTTTAAGGCTACTGTACTAAGAGGACAAGTATTGAACGGTCTGTTAGTTACTATCACAGAGTCCATTAAGATCAACCTCAATTTTATTTATTTTTAACACCTTACAGAAAACTAACTAGCAAAGCGAGGTTTGCGGGAAACAAGCAGAAACTAAAAGAATACTGTGAGTTACAATACATTTTGACAAGAGTCTCTTTATATATATATAAAATCAGCTAAAACCTAAAACAAGGCAGTTATGCCACTTTGTCTCTTGACATAAAACACTTTGGGTCGGTTATTTAAACGAAGTCTAACTTAGACCGCGGTTTACGAGATCTTTGGACCTCCATATCTCTTTCTTAGTGGGCTATTTTAAGAAGATAACTGCTTTTCTAGTCAACGCTATATGCTTTCATGAAACTTTTCACGATAAATGGTGTTCATATAAAAGCGTTCGGCAAACTGTAAATGGCTTTGAACGGGGTTTTGTCAAACACTGGCTAAACTCCGTTTAAATAACTGGTCCTTTTAGTTTAATTAAGGCTATATCCACAATATACCGGGATATGAAGGTTTTCGTGTCGGTACGAAAAGCTAGCCAGTATAGTATGAGCACCTTTCCGATATGCGACTCTCCAGTTTAGAGATCGGCGCGGTTCGCTCCGTTACAAAAATCGCGCCGAAATTACCGTTTTTATGCCGTGTCAACAGAAGCCCTACCCGGTATGGTTTCCGCGTGCCTCTGTAAGAGACGGATGACATTTCAGACCAGTGTGTGAACATAGCCTAGGAACTACAGGGCCTACTACACACAAATGCGCATCAGAGTCTATCAAAGCTGTACATGCTCATTATCATAACACACGAGTTCTCATAAATCAGAAGCATATAACCCTGAACGGGGTTTATATGCTTCTGCATAAATCGATAACTTTGAACTCTTTTAAAACAATTCTGAGTCTAACAAATCATATAAAATGATTAATGAATTAAAACAAATAACTGGTCACTCTAAAAGAGACACAGATCTTCATTCAATCTAACCGACCAGGTTTAAATCCTGAAGTAACTCTTCGATTATCTCTTTAAATGGAGGTACGCTTAAATCAACATTAACTACATTCTGAGGGATTTTTACACCTTGCATGTACTCTACAGTACCATCAGTGTTTACCTTTAACCCCATGGCAACTTCACCTCCACTGGCAAGTCCATTTGGAATGGCCACAAATACTATTTTTTCTTTGTTCCCTTTCCGTTCTACTTCGGTTATTGTAAAAGCCTCTCGATGATAGGCATCCGCCTTCACTATAAATCTGTCGTTACTGAACTGAAAAATGTTATGCTCTCTTTCATAGGATATGTCCTTTGGAAGAAGATGTAAGTAACTACCCTGCAAAACTGGTGAAGTGCTGCTGGCCTCTGTGCCAGACGATGGCAATCGAAAAGTGGCTGACAAAATAAACGTGCCAAAATCAACGAGCGCTTTGTAATATTCAGCAGGAAAAATCCTGGTCTTTTTATCTTCTATAGTAAATTTGATTGTTTTTGTAGCAAGCAAACCGTCTTCAAAAACATTATCGCTCCAATCGCATCCCTTGTATAGCATATATACGTGCAAAGGGCCACAGAAAAGCCACACAGGAAAAACATTCGGTTGGGCGCATGAAAAAATGTTATCAGCAAACATTTTGTAAAAGAAGCGTCTATTTACCTCATTATCTTTCAACTTCTTATCAATTTCGCAATTTGGAGCAAAAAGAAACAGCTTTACTCTTTTATCTATCTCCCCAGGATCCGTTTTCCAGTTTAACAAGTATTCTCGCAAATATTCTAATGCTGCAATATGTTCACTGTTTTCTGGAGTGAAACACAACCCTCGCCAAATGATGGAAATTAAACAGTGGTAAAGCCATGGAAAACCGGCCTTTTCTACAGTTTTTTTAATCTTGCCATCAACATCTGCAAGAAATGGTTTAAAAAACTCTGGATTAAAATGAACCTCGCCCTTCTGAAATACTTTTTCACAACCTTTACAAAATGCATAGTATCCAAAATTGGACACTCCCCCTTCAGCTCCGCGAACATGATCAAAGAAGTTTTTTTCCCTCGCTTCCTTTAGTATTGAGTGAGGAATAATGTGTCCCAGTCCTTCGGGTTTGCTATCTAATTTTCTACATAAGAGACAAATTAATAGGCAGGCGATCAGTTGCTGCCCATCGCGCCAAGAGTGCGGCCAGTTTATACATATCACCTGGAATGACCTCTTCACCACGTCTCTTCTGCCCTATCACTGTTCGTTTCAGTTTCTTATATTCTTCACTGCCAGATGCTGCTGCCATTTTGTCCAAGAGGAGAGGCAGCTTATTGCTCAAAATCTTTCTTCTTTCACTTTTCTTCACCACCTTGAACCAGAGACTATCATGCAGACCAAACTTGTCACGACAGCTATTCTGTGCAACAGGAGAACACACTATACATTAGCAGACAGTTAGCTACAGTTGTAGCATTTTCTGGCGACCACAGACCACCACCAATAACACCTCTGATATACAGGTTTTACAGGATATAAATAAACGGTTGATGAGAAAATGTAAAAATGGAAATTCACAAGGTAGTGTACACATGCTGGGTTCAAAGAGGGTGACTCAGTGATCGCTACCCAACTCGCACTTATTTTCTGAGCTACTAAAATCTTTAGTGTATCAGTACAAGCAATAAATTGGAGAAAGCTTTTCACCACGAGTTCATTTAACTATTAAAAAAGTTACTTTATTGAACAAGACATTACTAATGGGTTTCAATATGCGATAGTCATGATGATAGAGTTGGTGGCTAATTGTAACAGAGTTTAATCTGTTTTTCACAAACTAAGTAGAAGCTCATGTTTTTATGGTTAAAAACCAACTTATCTTAAGTTTTATATGTTGGTAAAAAAACTTAATTGTGGGCAAAACAACTTAGATCACATTAAGGCAAATCAACTTCAGTGTTGATGAATCTTCTTGTACAGAAAACAACTTCACCGGTTTTTATCATTATTTTTTGAAAGTAAATGTTGTAAAAAGTCGCCTACAAATTTGCCCAAACTACCGGTATTTTCTTAAGTATGCATGGAATGTCCCCAATACGGGTTGAGACTTTCACAATTGTATTTTTGAATTTCTTAAATTTATTGTTTCTAATTCCTCATTGTTTGGATTAGTACTGGGTATGACTAAAAAGCCCATTTTGTGACATCATCAGTTATGACATCACAAAAATGAAATTTGAGAATTCAAATGAGACAAGTTCTTCAATATTTTTATGTGTACTGTATATGAGCTAAGTATCACAGTTTTGGGTGACATACTTATGGAGCCGGGCCACTTTATAGAGAGTCATGTGAATGGTAACCATGCAAATGTGTACATGTAATCCACACTATTTGTGGAATCAAATATCGTGGCTTGTGTTAATTTCAATAACATGCCTTTAAAGGAAAGAATTAAAAAAATTCTTGAGCACATCAGGGCCCTATGGAATCTGTTAAGCTTAATATGATTGACAGCACACTACGGTCTACCAGGGGCTCCACAGTCTGAGCTTCTATGTCAAGTTCAACCCCTTTACAGTTTAACTTTCCTAACCGGTCCATGTCATGGTTTTTAGAATGTTTTGAATTGGAATATGTACTAGGATTTTAGGATTTTGTTGAGTCAACGTAATGGACAGATCAGATGTTTCCCTGGATTGATATAATTTGTGCAGTACAAATCAATAAATATTAAATATTAATAATGAGACTCTTTCACAGTTTTTTCAACTTTTGACATAGACAGGTTAGGAAAGGTATGTCAGCACCACTGGAAAGAGCGCCTTAGAAAAGTAAAACTGCCAAATTTGAAAGTGATACATCTTAAGTGAGCAAAGGTATAGCAAGTTCATCCCCATACAAATGTCTGTAGAATTTCATGACTTTGAGATGCTAGATCTTAAAAATAAGCTTTATTTGTCAATCTTAAAAAATCATATACAATGTATTTACAAAATTAAGGCAAAAAACATATACTATGAAATACTACTTAAGTGACTTTCTAGTAAAAATAAGTAAAAAATACAATCATAAAAGGAGGAGTCTTGCAGCTCTTGCTAAAAACGAGATGTCTTTACTTTCCTGACTTTGGAATTGCTACTGCACAAATATCAATCCACGGAAAGAATTAAATTTTCATCTGAACTGCCCATTTTGTTGACTCAACAAAATCCTAAAATCCTTGTACAATTTATTCCAATTCAAAAAACTCTAACAACCATGACTAATTATCCGGCCTTCCTTTCAGGAAGAGACAGGTATAATTCTGGCCTTGGTTTTTCCTTCATTGGTCCCTTCATTGTGGAATTGTCCTGTGCTCTTTAAAGCACATGCCTGTACTGGCGGAATATCACGTGATCGATTTCCGGCAATTTCATTGGCTTAGATGCAAAATCTCTTGTCGAGAACAACAAGCAGTTTTTTATCAGTCGGTAGCATTAACGTTGTGGTTTTGTTGCCTCTACGAGAGATCGACAATTTTGTTGGTCGAAATGTTTATTGATATCTGTTGTCTAGAGGATAATGCATCCCGGTACTGTCAGACAAATACAGTGGCTCGATCCCTTTAATCGAGATCGGCGTTGCAATCGCTGGTTGAGAAGAAGACATGTCAAAAAGGTAAGTAATTTTCACTTTTTGTTTTTATTACAAGTATTAACGAGAATTTAAATGCAGTTGAAGAAACACTATTGGGCTTTGTTCTGGCGAGTAAGTGTGTACTGAGGTGCAAGGAAGAAGCCGTTTTGTAAAATGTATGGACCGTTTTTGTGCTACATTGTACAACTTGACTGTTTGACATGTACAAACACGTCCACGCACATCACTGTAAACACCATGGAAATTTATGCGGCAGGACTTTTCTGCGGGTGGCGGGTGGCGGGTGACGGGTAGCGGGTGGCGGGTGACGGGTAGCGGGTGAGGGGCAGCGGGTGACGGGTGGCGGGTGGCGGGTTAAAAATATATATGAAAATAAAATATTATAATAAAATATTATTATTGATAATGATATAACTGTATGTTGTAATTTTAAAATAATTTCAACGTTTATGTACTAGCTACCAGACTCCAAATAAAAGTATTGTCTTGTTTTGTTTTATCTACTTACGCGGACTAAAAATGGAAAAAAAAACGGGAAATCATGCCTGTGAAAACAGTCACCTCTCCTTGCTCCGCACCGGAAGTGACGTTTCGTCAGGCTACACGCGGTGTGTCAAATGAAAATGGGCTACGTCAAGCAAGACACATGGCACGTGTCGATCTTGTTTGTCTAGTTTAGTTTGCTTTTAATTTTCATTCATCAAAAAACAAGCAAATCTGACTGTTCATCGCAGAAGTTTGTGCTTGGTCCAAGTCTTGTGCTTCCTGGCTGTGTCGGTATAAAAACGGACACTTACTATATCGAGGGAAAGAAATATTCTTTGACTTTTTTTGGCATGTATGGATTAACTTGTGTCGAGTTCGCATGGAAGCGGCAGGTAAAGCATATAGAGTTGTTTGATGCTAAAATTTGACATGATTTTGATCGATCAAACAACATTTCATTGTTAAATTAAATCAACGATTATACATGTAAGCTTTTAGCTTTTTAAAATAAGGGTGATTACTTACTATCGAATTTCGATCTTGCAAAACTCCATTTTGATGGATCCAACACTATTAAAAATTTCCAAATTATCTATACTAGAAATCTTTCTCTTTGCTGTGTTCAGCTACTGTACGTTCAAACTTGCAATTTATTTAAAGAATCGAAAATCGATTATAAAATTCTGTACTTAAATTGTTTTCGGGATTATCCTCAACGAGGTACACAGTACAGTTTTGGGTTTTCTGTGGTTACTTCTTTGCTTGTTGTTGAATCAATAACAAGGCAATGAAATATTGACATATCCTTTATTTTATTACATTTACTTTTTTTTTCAGAGACGACGAACCTGATCCCAAATCAAACGATAAGTGCAGCAACACTTTTTGAAGTTGTCTGACGATGAATGAACTAAAAGAAGATGCCAGTAGTTTGTCTTTGAAGTATCTGTATCAGAGTGACAATAATTTGAATAAAGATCTTACTCATGGGAAGATCTGGGTTTTTTACTCCTTTGTAGTAATTTAGCACTCACTTCAGCAACTAAAACAAATTTAAAATCCTTACATAATTATTCCAACCATTATGTTCTCTTCCTCTTCATATAGGGTGTTATCTTAAAGTTTTTTCCCTCAAAATATTAGTTTACTACCTCAGATTATGACTGAAGCTCATGCTAATTTAAAGAAAAAGAAAACTACTGCAACACTACTGTGAAGCATTATGCAGTCATAGTCAAGTACAACGCTTTGTAACTGCCTCGTACCCAGACGTCTCTCTCGATGTGCGCGCAAAGGAAGGCGGGAAGGAGACAACGCGTGAGACGTCTGGCAGATCTTGCTTTCAAGATGGCGGCAAGAGTAATGGAGGACCAATATACAATTTTTAAAATAAGTTCAGTCCTGTTCATTTGCGAATTTTGAGCAAATCGTTGCCTATCCACGTCGTGTGTGTGAAGAGGAAGCTGTTTTCACCCCACACATTGGACCTCAAGCATCATAATGTTTAGTACCGAACTACATAATGTTTACTACCGAACTTTAGATCGAAAAACTACTAGCCGCGGACGGGACAGTACTGCCTTTAATTTAATGAAACTGCCGCACGCCAAGGTAACAGCCGGTCAGGAAAGTTAGTAAGTTAGTAATCGTTTCTGTTAAGGTCCCCAGTGATGAAACGATCTCTTCAGTTGAAGTGAAAAATGGCGAGCTGAGAATTGTTGCAACAGTCAAATGAAGCCAAATATTTAGTAAAGCTTTAAAACACTATTTGCTGCACGCTGTATCTTGAGTACTCGAAAAGGCAACAAACCAGTCTAGTCTCAAGACCTCTAAGTTATGTTATGAAATACATGTAGATGATAAAATGTTTTTTTAATTCTGTTAAATTTTTTGTCTCAGGATTTCGCATTGAGTATCATTTGCTCGACAATGTGAGCTTATGTACCGGAAAAACAACCACAAAACTACAGTCCCAGACAAAAATAGTTGGGACACTTAACGCAAACCCCTTTTTTTCCTTTCCCGTGCTTCCCTTTTCCCTCCCAATGTTGTTTATTGTGATTCAGTCGGCAAATCGTGTACACCAACATTGAGAGGAGAAGAAGACACAAAAACGTCCCAACAATTTTGACTGCGACTGTAGCTCCAGGTTTTTTTTTACTTGTATTTTTTATTGTTCGATTACCTCACTGGGTACTAGACTTGTCACTGAATGCTCAGCCCTTTGTAAATAAATTCTACTTACTTTTTATTTATATACCTCATTTTATGATGAAGCTGTGTCGAATGTGCAGCAAATACTTATTGTCTGTATTGTTTTTTATTTGTTTTTGTGATATTACACAGTAGACCAATTTGGTTTTGTCATGCTCTTTTATAACACATCATTTGTGTCTCAATAAATAAATTATTGGTAACTTTGGTTTTAATTTGATAGAGAATTTTGTTACCCTGATTGAAGAGGGTGATGTAGTTGATGAGATACCATCATAACTACCATTTGGTCAGGCAGGAGACGTTGCCCTAGACACTTTTTTAAAAAAATAATTGTGTTTGAATATTTCAAATTTCATGGCAAACAAGATGCTGTGAATGCCATTTTAGAGAATAATGATTGCATTGTCCTAATGCCAACTGGTGGTAGGAAAGACTGAGTATTATGAAGTTCTTGGGATCATTCTACCCAGATTCAACATTGCTGTTCCTGTGATTGCTGATACATGGTTCCTTTCTTGGCAAACGTGTGGTAGCATAAAATTCCCCTCAAAAGTCTTCTGAAGGGGTAGTTTTTGACCTGCTTTGCAGTTGCAGAGGATTACAAGATCATCTAATAATAATTATTATCAATGGACAGAGAATTACCTTGAAATGCAAAAAACGTTAAGATAAGTATAGATGGTTCTGCATAACTACTAACCCCCAACCCCCTTCCTAGAAATTTTAACTACAAAATTACAATCAAGATACAAGCATCTAATGGAAAGAACAGTAAAAACAGGCCCCTGGACAAATTGGAAGAATATGCAGTAAAAAACACTACATTACACTATTAGTAGGCTGATGTCAGGTCTATTAACAGTGTCAAGCAATGAAAAATGCCAGCTGTTTTAAGTATGGACCAGAAGCTCAGCCATGCAAAACCCTTACCACTTTCCATAGCTTCCACCTCACCCAGAGAAATAAAAAATATTGCTCCTATTCCTTAAAGTAGTGTCACTGGACATTGAATTGATGTATGTTTTATGAACTTCTGCCGTGATTATTGAACTGAGATGTGGTCAGGTCATTGAACTATGGTCAGCAAAAGAGAAAACCTGCACCCCTAATCCAACTTAAACTCAATCTGTCTTGCCCAAAGTAATAAAATACTTTGCTCCTATAATTCCTTTATTTTGGACAATGGAAATTAGGTTGATGTGTGTTTTTTGAACTAATACTGCGATAAAAGCATGTGTACAGTTGCCCCTTCCCCTCAGAAAAAAATTGCTGTACATGGGCTACTGAGATTATTGAACGGGCATGTTGTCATTGAACTGACTTCTGTTAAAAAAGGGTTAAGCCTTTCCCCCTTCTTTTACATTTGTGTGTCCCAATAAAGTTACATTGAGACCACAGACCTGGAGTTTAAATGAGATGTAGAAGTGTGATCATTGAATCATTGTGTTTTAACTGAACTATATAGTTTATTCAACCTTTATTCAAACATTTTTAGTCTTGTAATAGGGGTGCCATCATGCCAGACATCTAGGTAAATAAAATTAGTAGTGTAACAATTAATCAAATTCTCGATTAATTGTGATTATGACTGTTCAGTTCAATTCAGGATTCTTTGCTTCCGCATCTCGATTTTGGTTCGGTTTTTGCACACCTTTTCCAGGGTGCCCTCAGTGAGTTATTATATTCTAAAATAAGAATCCAGAACTCTTTAATGTGCGTTTTTGATTGACGAGCAAAGACGATAGCAGTTCGTGCGCCATTTTGAGTTGCCTGGCAAAAATGCTGTCCTTCAATCTCCCTTGAGAATTTCCAAATAAGGCAATTAACCATATGCAACACACTCTTTGTCAGGTTCTCAAACATGGCGATGAACCAAGCGACTGTGAATCCTCCTGTCTCTGTTACTATTCTTATATTGAGGATTTAGGGTTGCATGCTGTTTACATTACACATTATGTTATAAGAATTACGAAACATTTACGTAATCGAATTGAAATAATCAAAATCGAAAGGCAATACTTGAAATTGAATCAAATCGCAAGGAATATGAATATTTTATTTTTTTACACCCGTAAATAAAATGAAATAAAGTTGAAACTAATGATAGCAATAACAAAATCTCCTACAAAAGATAAAATCGATAAATATATTGTAGCATTAATTATTGTACAATATATAGAGGATATTACATGGCTGCGCGGAGATACAAAATTTCCCTTTGAGTGGTGTTGAAAAATATTTCATGTGTGAGCGCAGCGAACACGTGAAATATTTTTTCAACACGAGAAGAGAAATTTCATATCTCCAAGCGGCCATGTAATGTTCTATTTATTATATAAACACCAATGAAATACCAAACCATTTCACTTTAATAGTTTTTGGGTGTGAAAGGCGCGATTTATTATGTAGCCATAGCAAAGGTCATATTTTCACATGTGAAGATATCAAGTTTTCGTGTGAAAGCTCACCTAGTATTTCACCTGGTATTTCAAATACTAAAAAAAATTAAGCTAGAAAAGACTGCCTTTATATTCGTTTCCCTCATCAAGATGGAGAGAGGTAGTCCAAAATGATGGATTGATCAATGCTGGCACCTTCCTTCTCTTCAACCCCTTCCCTGATCCGAAAATAAAGTTTATTACTTATCTCTCGAGAATCTAGTGATCTTATACCGAGAGTTAGGAATTTTAAGCTTCAACAAGTTATGCATTTTTATTTATTTTGTCAAAAGCGTCTACTGAAATATATCCATCTTTCCCTGGTTTCATAGTAAGTAACGTCGCAGACTTAAATCTTGGTGTAAGGACATAATGTGGTCTTGATAATCAACTCCTGACCCTGCACAATCTACCTAGGCCTTGCACTTCTTTCAATTCACAAGGTTACTTGCTCGTTGTTCGGTGGATTTGGCCTAAAAAGAGCGAAAAATAGAAACATAATCGCCGGCGCTGTACTTTACTAATCCGGATTCTGCAATAAACGACAAGTCAAATACTAAAATATAAGACTTACCCGATACTAGCCGTCAAGTCATCAAATAAATTGTTAGAGGTCTTCGATTCGTAAGAATCCAGCAGAATCTGACTCCTTTGCAGCCTGTCGGTTATTTCTACCTCAGGTTTTGAAATTTTGAGCCATTCACTTGTCTACTCAAAGTTTACAATGTTTACAACAATATGCTACTAAAATTGATCGCTTCCAAGACTTAAAAAGACCAAAAATTGGGCCGTGCCAAGAAAACGACTTTTTTGCCAAGAAAACGACACAAGATCTGGCAGGCGCTTCGTCTGCCGTCTGTACCCTTCCCATGGTCCCTTGCGGTTCATCACCAGTCACTCGTTTCGCGCTCGCCTCTGCCATGCGAAAAACGAAGCGCCTGAGGAGGAGGCTGGCTTTGTAACATTTGAGTCTTTCCAGTCTGATTTGCCAGCCGGTAGTATTTTTTTCCTTTTAGTCATCATCAAAGTTCATATGGGTTGTGCAGCGCCGTAGCTAGTATGAGGCCAACCGAGGCACTCGCCTCGGTAAAATTTTGACGAATTTCGCCGATCATTTTTATTTTACATAAGCGATCATCGGATATTTTTAACGCATCATGATATTACAAAGAATTCAGCAATTCAGTCAATATACTATGAAAAAATTACCATATCATCGATCTCAAGGGGCTACGTACGTTAACTCAATTTTTTTTTGAACAAATACTGATCAAAACCAATGGCGAAGTTAACGGTCACCCAGATTATGTAGCTTGTTTCTGATTATTGCTTTTTAAATTCCACTCAAATTAACTCGAAAAAAAGTTACCGAAAGGCCCAGAAAACGCTGCAAATCGCATTTCCGAGAGACTAAAGTTCAAAATTTCTCGGGGGGGGGGGCATACCCCCGAACCCCCCTAGCAACTCCCGCCTGCCTCGGTTGGCCGTTTGGTCTGGCTACGGCACTGTTGTGGTGCATTACTGCGTAGTGCATAGTGCATAATCCAAGCAGTGAATAGATTTTGTTCAGCACATCAATAGAACTTGATGCCGAAAAGAGGAGTCAAATTGCGCTCCTGCCGTCCTTTTTCTTAGTAATGGAAATGAAATTTTTTCTTCAACTTCCGGTAAATCAGTCAAATTTTGAGTAGATTTTCTCTTAAATGCCAAGGTATATTCAAAAAAGAACACCAGATATGCATATTAGATCATCTGAACTTACTGTAGAAAGATTTTGAGGGCAAAATAAAATATACAGTGCGCGATTTGGGGACACCTGATTAAGGACACAAAGTTTGTGTTCGCATCACATGCTCACACAATCACTATACCTTATTAACTTGAGTTTTTAGTAACGTAACCCCAGTATCATGCCGGTCTGTTCTACAATTCACTTATCATGTGAGGTGACACAAATTTGGTTCACGAATTCTAGTATCAGTACAAGGCTTTAAAACACGCAGCGTCACAAGGCATCACAAGGCATCACAAAGTATCACAAGGTATCACAAAGTATCACAAGGTATCACAAAGTATCACAAAGTATCACAGAGTATCACAAAGTATCACAAGGTATCACAAAGTATCACAAGGCATCACAAAGTATCACAAGGTATCACAAAGTATCACAAGGTATCACAAAGTATCACAAGGTATCACAAGGTATCACAGAGTATCACAAAGTATCACAAGGTATCACAAAGTATCACAAAGTATCACAAGGTATCACAAAGCATCACAAAGTATCACAAAGCATCACAAAGTATCACAAAGTATCACAAAGTATCACAAAGTATCACAAAGTATCACAGAGTATCACAGAGTATCACAAAGTATCACAAGGTATCACAAAGTATCACAAGGTATCACAAGGTATCACAAGCCATCACAAAGTATCACATGGCATCACAAAGTATCACAAAGTATCACAAGATATCACAAAGTATCACAAGGTATCACAAAGTATCACAAAGTATCACAAGGAATCACAAGCCATCACAAAGTATCACAAGGCATCACAGAGTATCACAAGGTATCACAAAGTATCACAAGGTATCACAAAGCATCACAGAGTATCACAAAGCATCACAAAGTATCACAAGGTATCACAAAGTATCACAAGGTATCACAAAGTATCACAAAGTATCACAGAGTATCACAAAGTATCACAAAGTATCACAAGGTATCACAAGGTATCACAAGCCATCACAAAGTATCACAAGGCATCACAAAGTATCACAAAGTATCACAAGGTATCACAAAGTATCACAAGGTATCACAAAGTATCACAAAGTATCACAAGGTATCACAAGGTATCACAAGCCATCACAAAGTATCACAAGGCATCACAAAGTATCACAAGGTATCACAAAGTATCACAAGGTATCACAAAGTATCACAAGGTATCACAAAGTATCACAAAGTATCACAAGGCATCACAAAGTATCACAAAGTATCACAAGGTATCACAAAGTATCACAAAGTATCACAAGGTATCACAAGGTATCACAAGCCATCACAAAGTATCACAAGGCATCACAAAGTATCACAAAGTATCACAAGGTATCACAAAGTATCACAAGGTATCACAAAGTATCACAAGGTATCACAAGGTATCACAAAGAATCACAAAGTATCACAAGGTATCACAAGGTATCAAAAAGTATCACAAAGTATCACAAGGCATCACAAAGTATCACAAGGCATCACAGCGTATTAAAAGGAATCACAAAGTATCACAAAGGGAACTCACCTTTACCGTAGCGCTTTTATCTTACATTACATTCACTAACATTGCACTCTTTTGAGTGCGCAATTCAACTGAACAGTACCGTGGCTCATATAGGACATAGATATATTTTTTTTTACAGTTAACATTTGCAACTCCGATTTTCATCGCGGAAATCCGAGTTGTGCGATTTCAAAATTAGCAACTCGAATTTTTACGATAAAAATCCTAGTTGTCTGCATTTCAGAATTTGCAACTCGGATTTTTACCGCAAAAATCCGAGTTGTGTGTATTTCAAAATGTGCAACTCGAATTTTGCCGCAAAAATTCAAGTTGTTAGCATTTCAAAATTTGCAACTCGAATTTTTACCGCAAAAATCCGAGTTGTGTCATTTCAAAGTGTGCAACTCGAATTTTTGGGTGTCTGTAAAACTGGGAACAGGCCCGGAACACCCCCGAACACATCCTGAACACCCCGGAATACCCCTGCCCCCCGATCACCCTTAATTACAAAAATTAGGCAAGAGATAATTGAAAAACCAAATAAAGACCTAAAATATCAAATATGAATCAATAAATATATATCTTTAATCTGTAACTGGAAAAAGGAGATTGGGTCAGATAAACTACTTTTGAAGATGTTATGAAAGTAGTCCGTTGCCTTTGTACGAATACTTACTAGCTTTTTCTCCCTGAATATAGCTGAAAGAGCAACTACTGAAGTCATAAAAAAATAAACCAAAAATAAAATATCTTCTAAATAAATATCTTGCCGATTTGAGGTCTACCTTATTCGAGGAGTATCACTTATAAAATTCACTTATTTTGATTCGTCTTGTTTTCTTTTACTTTAATATTTTGTCTTTGATTAAAAAGAAAAATATTATTGGTTTTAGTGCTTTTCCAGCTAGTGTTTGTTCGTTTGTTTTTTTTTTCGAGCCATAGATTATATACTTATTGCACGGAGAATTCGTTGTTCCGCAGGTGTTTCCCGGAAGGGGGGCACTCCCTTATTTGGCCTTGACGGTAATGTGCCCCTGAGCAGGGCCTTTACAAGAATGTGAAGATTGGATGTAGGCGAATCTTTGTTTAAACTTTTTGCCTCATTAACATATGCTTATCACTATCTGATGACGCTAATAAAATAAAAACTCTGAATATTGAAAGAGCATAACAGTTTCAGTTATCTCTGAAAATTTGACCCCAATGCACTGAATGGTTTCGGAGAAATTCTCTTCTAAAAACTCGAAATTTTACAGAGAATGTATGGCTCATTAACTTTTTTGCTACCCAGCAATTTGGCAGTTTTTGATGGCTGATATTTCCTTCAATATCGCTTGCAAAGAGCTGAAAATTGCACAAGTTGCACACCTTAATCAGCTCTTTCAACTTTTGCATTTAGTTCATCTATACAGCCACAGCTTCTGTGATTTAAGAATTTTTAAAACTAAACTAGTGAGCAGCACTCTGTGAACTGTTGCTGTAAAACTTGTTTATTCTCCTACGCGTTTCGTCTAACTAACGTAGACTTCTTCAGGGAGTTTTACAATCAAATACTAAACCCCTGTATTTAAGCCATAATATGACTAAAAATAATGATGGTCGCAAACATTGAAGGTTTGGCCGGATTTAGGAAAAGGAACAGGCGGAGCTGTGAAATTTTTTACGCAAGGCGTGAGAAAACTTTGGGGCCACGGTTTTAGCCGCAGGAAAAAATGACGGATTCCCATTTTTGGATATTTTTGGGTATTTAAAGAATACCCACAAAAATCCCAAAGTTGGAAGAGTGAGACAAGTCCCAATCTGGGAACTTGGTTGGGAATTCCCTGGTTGGGACTTGTCTCACTTTGCCAAATTTGGGATTTTTATGGGTATTCTTTAAATACCTAAAAATATCCAAAAATGGGAATCCGTTATTTTTTCCTGTGAGCTAGCCCCAAAGTTTTCCAAGCCTCGAGAGTTCTAGGATTCGACTCAGGGGCATTCTCTGCTGGAAAGGCAATAAAATTGCCCAGGAGTTGCTGCAAAGAGCTCTCGTTGGCTACCTCTTGTCTGAGGTCATCGACTGAGAACGATTTCCGAACCCGCTTCTTGCTGGTCATTATCAAGAGGACGTTCCTCGAACTGGCTTGGAAACGGTCTGAGCACTTGATTGTATCTGAAGCACCAAACAATAAAACAGCAAACTGTTTTCATTAACTCTTTTGTCTCAACAAACTATCACACTAAGCCACGCACAAATAATTCAGCCGAAGAAGCGACGACCGGAAATACGTCGGTGATTTATGGTATCGGCTATCCTGTGATGTATCATCAAATAAACAATGAAAAAAGATTCTTAAATAATTCTTTTGTTTTAACCTGATAACGCGAAATCAAAGTAAAATAACACGGCTCTCCAAATAAATCACCCTCGCAAGACAGCAGATTACCACTATTGAAATCGGCGAACAGCAAATAAATGAATCAATGATTACCAAAACTCCCCGAGCCTAAGAGATTATTAACCATTATTTCATACTGAGCGATATCCTTTGAATGTTCCTATGTGGCATTGTGACATTGCCAACGTTAGGAAGATTGATTATGGTATCCGGCAGATCTCACGCAGTACCTTTTCAGTACCCTCACACCTCCTCTCTTGTCTTTAAATTTAGTACGCAAATTGTGATGTTGTGATGCTCACAAATTCCAAGGCCCAATCCCCCACTCCCCAAATCGGGCACCAAGTGAAATAAAATGTTGAAAATTTGCCAGTGCAGATACCTTAAAGTCCTATTTACAAAAAACACCTACTAATTAGTTAAAAATAACTTTACAAAATTACATTACTTAACAAAATTATTTGTTAATAATAATAATGTCTATTCACATGTTGGGAATAGACATACTGTACCTCATTTCAGGATATCTTGATCAGTTCAGGATATCTTGATCTTCCAGGTATTTGCTTCAGTGGCTGTGATTGAATGAAACGGAAATCATACAGTGCTGCTTGTTTACTAGCCTGCGTAGCATGGCGGTTTTGTCGAGCCAGGCGCACGAGCGGCGAAGTTGCTCCCGCCCCAATCTCCTCGCGGTTTCTCTGCCCTCGCCCGCCTTTATTTACTTAGCGCGCCCAACCAAACCCGCCATGCGACGCAGGTTACTTGTTTACTTGTTTCAGTGATTTTTAGTTACAAATACATGTAGTTATGGTGAGTCCTTGGACTCATCTTGTGAACAAATCATGAGTCCCACTCCAGAACCATTGAGACCCAGTTCAAAAACAGTAAGTAAGCCCTAAATTGAAAATGCTTGGGCCTTTACGTGACCAGACAGATACGATTTGCAAAGCACAACGAAGACACGTCTTTGGGGATTTTAATGTGTCAGGGACGCAGGGCTGGACGGTGAGTCAGTTAACAAAATCACTGCTGTTTCCAAGGTATCATCAAAGATCAAATAGGAGACTCGAATGTCTCAGGCACAGTGTGTACATTTCAGCTTTTATTCGCCTCACTCCTCCTGATCTGGGTCTTAAAATGTCGCAATTTTTTTGACGTGTGAAACGTTTCCCTTAAACAGGTCCTTGCAAACCACCGTATGTGAAGCATATTAAATCTGTGTAAAACAACAATGAACCAACAATCTTACCTGTACTATAAGAGAATGTGGTTCCAAGATATGTCTGGAAAGACTGCGGTGATCAAGCGTCAGAGTCGAGCGTCAGCCGAGCGTTGAGAAGTGGAACCGCTCCCAATGTGAAGCTCGGGAGATTAAATGAAGTGTTACCACAGGCGGCCCAAACTCACGTTGCGAGGGAAGGGTGTAATGTGATTTACATAACATATGTGACGCGCCGGTGTCGCGTTACCAGTTACAGGCGACCGTTGTTGAAAATATAAGAGACTTTGTATGGGAAATATATTACTGAGATCTGCGAACGCCAAATAACGCTAAACCTTACTTTTTCTTAAATGAAATGAATAAAAAAGTCTTACCTGCAACCTACTCCGCTGCGGTTTTGTGTCTGTTTGTTAGAGGAGTTTTGCAGCCAAAACACGAAACAATAATCACTCATGGACCACAAACCGCGCAAAATTCTGAATGATCTGCGCCTTATTAGGCTTGAGACCAATCTCGCATATTGCAAAAAAGACTTTGTCTTATCTGCACTCTACAGAGATACTGATAGAACAGATGACTAAGACGATGGTAATTTTTAAAAGAGGCGCCATTTTTCTTTGCTGCATTCGCTGCGATCCAATACCACCACAAACTTCCGTCCAGCGGCTCGCGCATACTCGCAACGTTACCACTTGCTGTTAGCAAGCCCGTGTCACGCACATATAATGATTGACAATCGCTACTACGTATTATACAACCATTGGACAGAGTCCAATACTTAACATACCTAATATAGGGGAGTCCCCCCGCCCCCCCTTCCCCCCCTTCCTGCCTCACTCCCCGGATGTAAACCGCTAATAAACAGCCAGAAGATGACATGTTTACACAACGATTTTCAGCGAAAATTATGCAAAATTTGATCTAATCATGTCGGTAAAATGGAGAAGTCGATCAAGCCTGTCAACCACCTCTTGGATCTGACAAATCAGAGCTTGCACTAGAGATCACTAGAATGTGCATGAAACCTTTGTCGGCAGGCTCCACTCCGACCCACCCCCATCTACGACTACAACAACAGTACTGACGTCGTACTATACCGTGAAGGACTGGGGAGAAGCCCGTAGATCATACCGGAAGGACCGGAAGGATTTTGCTTTCGTTTTTACAGATTACCAGGTTACGGGAAAAGTCCCAGAAATGCGATCATTCTCTTTCAGTTCTGTGAACAAACATCGACCTCACTTTCTGTTCTCC